TTGCCACTACGTTGTTCTAACATAGGTACCTAAAAATGGAAAATTAAAAAGAAACACAACTAAAAGTAAAGTTATTGGAAACAACACCACAAAGAACGAAAAATCATAAGTAACTACATTTTCACGTGACACCACTCCCCGGCAGCGGCGCCATTTTGATGCTTCGATATGTGTATATTTTATATTTCGTGATCAACGACACTAATCTATAATTTAAGCCTTTACGAATAAAAGCTAGTAAAGTAACCCAACCAAGAGTTGGGGTCGTGTCCCAAGGAAGTGGTAGTGAAAGTAGTAGCTACTTAGAATTCTATTTTAAATAGTGATAGTTCAATATATTTTTGAGTATTAAGACAGAACAATTTTAATTTGTGACACCAAAGTGTCAAATATCACGAAAGGAGTTTTTTCACAAGTAGTAGAATAGCAAAAATAAAGGAGAAAACAAGTAGGTAGAGAGTTCTTAGGGGTGTGATCGCAATATATGTTGACACAAACTAATTGGCACATGGATTTGATATGAAAATTCACAAGACAATGGTGACTAGGCTAAGCTTTATGCGAAAGGAAGTTCCCTCTCGCGCAACTTACCCTATATCAAATGGGTTCCTCTCTAACATCCACTCGTCTAAACTAACCAGTCTACGCCTTACCCACACCCTAATCATTCAATAGAGGGTGCTTGGATATGGTTATTCTGTGGCGAGATGTAAGTCATATGTTGTTTTATATAACTGCTATGTTGTGACAAATGAATCACATATGGCAACATATATAAGTTATATGTCGCAATATATGACTATTTTATTGTGAAATGTAAGTCATATGTTGTTACATATAACTATTCTGTTTTGAAACATAAATCACATGTTGTGACAAAATATATAAGTCATATGTTACAGCATATGACTATTATATTGTGACATGAAAGTCATATTTTGCATCTTATGTACGTTATATGTTGCAGCTTTCGTAAGTTATGTATTGCAACATATGTCTATTCTGTTATGATTGAAATAACCTTTCTGTTGCAACATATATAGTCATCTGTTAGAAATGTGAATGCAAATTATTGAAAAAATTGCAGGTACCCAGATAATGATGAATGATTTCAAAGAACTATTAATTTAATTACCAAAACAATAGTGTGTGACCACAATCACTTATGAAGTAATTTCAATTGATACAGAACGAAATCTGGTCCACTAATTAGATTAGCTAAATCTAATTTAAGAGAAAGAAAGCTCAGGGACTAGAAGCCAAGACCAACAATGTACGAAAAGAAGAAGAAAAATTGTAAGAGAATGGGAAGAAAGGCAAGCAAGAACGAAGCAGAAGAGGAGGAATACGGAAAGAGGCAGGGGGAAAATCTTTTATATTCCCTTTGGTACAGCCCGTTGGTGGCTTCCCTCCAGTTTTGGTTCCCAACAAAATTAGTTAAATTGGGTTTTAGTCATTTATCCTTTTACCCCTCATTTAATTCAAGGGAGCAAAATATCAACTTATAAATTTGATGGCAACTCCATAATCCTTAATCATTAATCACATAATTGTCACCTAAACTCAATTATTAGGACTTATGTCACCACCCTTTATTTTGACACCTTAATGTCACCTTTGATTCAAAGCCCCTTGTTTCTACTAATATTAGGTTGCATATTTGTTGGTATTTTAATAATATATATGTTCTTTATCTAACTATATTCTTCGATATTTTTATATGTCATTGTAGACACATACATTTTGTTAGATTCAAATCATACAAAATTTGTATTATATAAGGTTCATTTCATCTGGAGGCCCAAGCTCATACTACGTCTCAATATGACTTGGCATGCATTCATGTTCAAGACTAACAAGAGGATGTCAATGTTCATGTGACAATCCTGGTTGAAGCTCAACAACCAATCAAAAATCAACCTTATAGTGTTTGTGATAAGTTTAATATCCTACATGAACCAATTAAAGAAGACAAAAGAGTTCATCCATATTTGGATGATCTCTCTCCTATAACTATAAATAGAAGGGTTACATGATGTTTTGAGGATATTCTGCAAGCATTGGAAAAAGATAAAATATCAACTACATAGTTTTTCGAAGGAGTGGTTAAAAGTGTTTCTTTTGGATATCCATTTAAATCGGTGAAGTGCTCCCAATGTTTCTATATATCAAACAAATCTCAAGGAGTTCTACATCACTCTATATTCGAAAAATACACTATTGCCAACCTTTGAATCACAAATAATATTAGGAGAGAAGAATTAAGAAAATAACGAAATTGTATGCACAAAGATTCATGAATAAATTTATTTTTCCTTTTATTTATTTTGATTTTAATTAATTTTCAGCTCTATGAAAATTTGTTACGAACAAATATGAGACGTATATATAGTGGGATTAATATCCCTTTTCATCTTTTCTTCCTGCATATCTATGAACTACGAATTCAACTATTGTAATGAACTTTGAAAAAATTATCAATACTTCATGCAAGGCAATAATCAAGGCAAGCAATATGAATAAATCAGAAATCTTCATCTCTTTCGGGAAAATCTCATACTACAACTATAAATTCTGAGGCAAAATTGTATACATTTCTTTCCATCAGATGGAGTCTCTCACACTGGCTTCAATTATGAATATTTGAAGACATAACAAATTCATTTACCTCAACAAAGGTCAACGCCATGATAATTGATGTAATTAGTGTCGACAAACGTTCTGCAATGAAATAAATCATTAGGGCATTAAAGATATTTATGAAGGTAAATATCTTCAAATTGTCAACTGATGAACAAATTAGATGTCTATTGCCCTAGAGAGTTAAGTCACAATCTAACACTAAAGAAAATATTGATACTGAATCTCCCACCAAATTAGTTGAATCTTAATGAACAAAACAATCTACTTCACTAGTTATTCTAACAATTCAGCTATCGCAAAATATAATTGCAAAAACCATCAAAGTAGGGTTTTTTTTATTAAAGGTGACAATAAGGTTTGAAAACTAAATGGTAGCGACTCATGCTATTTTAATTGAGTGTAGATGACAATTATGTAATTAAGGATTAATGTTTTGTTAAAAATGTGGGGAGTTGCCCTTAAGTTTTTAAAATGTCATTTTCGTCCATTATATTCAATGAGGGGTAAAAAAGTAAAAGATTAAACCCCAATTTTAATTAAAAAGGAAGGGAACCCAATATATGAAAAGAAAAAAAGAGAGAGAAAAACCTGTCATATTTGAAGGTTCAACAAATGTTGCAACTTATTTAAAAAATGAGTAAATATTGCAATATACATTGATTTTCTTGCAACAGATGACTTATGTTGGATATGTCATTGTTGTTACAGATGACTTATCTATTGCAATAAAATAGTCATATGTTGCAACAAATGACTTATTCGCTGCAAAGATGTAGTATCTGTTGCAACATATGACTTACCTCTGCAGCAAATGATATATCTCTTACAATAAAATGATCATATGTTTCAACTAATGTCTTATGTGTTGCAACATATGTTTTTATATGTTGCAATATGTGACTTATTTGTTGCAACATATAAAGCATCAGTTATAACATAAAAGACATGCATATAATAAGGCATTTGTTGCAACAAAGTGATCATATAAGACATTTGCTACAACTTAGCACTAGCTTCAACAATTATTTGAACAATTGCTTGATTTTATAGATTTTGTAATGACTTTAAAAATTTTAAAATCAAACCAAAATGGTTTGTCAAGTAGAGTCAAAAAGAGAAAAAAAAACGATAAACACCAATGACAATAATAACACAGTAAAGACGATAAAGAAAAAGAAGAGAAGAAGAAGAAGAAGCACATGGAGGAATAGAGAAAGAAAGAAAGGAAAAAATAGGGACGAAGTCTGACAAGAGAAAAAAAAAGGGAGAAATATATTTAAAAAAAAAGAGAAGAGATTGGAAAGATGATGGAGGGAAGTTTAAAAATTGAATTAAAAAAAAAGAAAGAAATTTTTTCAAAATATTTGAAATATTAATCTACACTCTAAAGTTTTTTATTACTCTAATCAAGTCCACTTTTTCAAAATACACAAGTATCCCTACAATTTATGTTCGAAATTTCAGAGACACATTTATATTATGTTAAGATTTTATTATCCTCTGATCTTATTTTATTAATAATTTTCAATACGTTATCGGTCTACGTAACACTATCTTGTGGGTCCAACGCTGGTTGACTTTTTTTAAAGGTAGTGCAACGTAGGTCGAAAAAAATAGAAAATTACTTATAAAATAAATTCAGGGGTAATAAGACATTAATATATTATAAGTGTTTCTCTGAGATTTCAGAGATAGATTGAAAAGGTACTTGTGCATTTTCTCTTAATATTTGTTGGTTAAGTCATTATTATTAAAAACAAAATTAAAACTTATTTAACATATTTAGTTTAATTTTTACATCAAAACTTAATATGGATGAATCACAAAGTTCTTATCGGATACATATGCTCCCATCTTCATACTAGTGAGTAGTGATGTGTTGGCACAGCCAATTGGTAATCATGTTGTGGAGTTTATCTGTATCCCAATTTGATTGTTGAAATCTTTAATTTAAATCCTAATAGACTATTAATTTCGATCTGAACAATATATATTTCATATCATGTTTGGCTCATACTTTTTTTTAGTTTTGATCAAAAGTTTGCAAAGACCGTCATTTTGACCACAAGATGTAATGCAATATTTTATATGTCCTAATTTATGTGATTTATTTTTCTTGTTAATCGATTTTACAAAAGAAGTACAAATTTAAATATTAAATAACAATTTAATTATTAAATATTTATTTTGCCTTTAATAAAATGATTTATAGATAATTAAATTTTTCTTATTTATTTTGGATAATATTTTTAAAAGTCTCTTTTTCTTTTTAAAATTTTATATCGAGTAAAACTAAATCAAATAAAATGAGGTAGTATAACATATACTTTTGGAAAAGATCTTTGAGAGGAAAAATCTAAGCTAATAAGATAAAATGAGAGATTTTTGTATTGACAAATCAGTAAAATAAGTGATACACTTGCTAATATCACTTCTATGATATTAGTAACACCAAAAATAAAAATATATGAACAAATGGAACTAAAACTAAGGCGAAGTGCTATTTGTGATATGGCGAAGTTGCTTGAACTCTTTTTTTTCGTTTTTGTAGAAATCCTTGTAGAGATTTCTTCACAGTTTGAGGTTGTAATAATGGTGATGAAGGCTCAGACATCTTGTTTGTTTTCATCTCCATTCCTCTACTTGCAAGATATATTATAGCTTTAGCCTGCATAACAAAATAAAATCATATAAGAAAATAAATTCATAATTCCTCGTAATTAGAATTTTAGAAGCTTAATTAGTTTGACGTACTAATTAGAATTTTAGAAGCTTAATTAGTTGACGTACCTGAAGCTCAGTAGCATCGGAAACCACAAATTTTCCATGGTAAAATATGGTTAGCTGTTGCGATTGCTTATTCTCCAATTGTTGATCCTCCCTAATAGTAAATAAAAACAAATATATAATCAATACCTAATGACTATTACTTATTACAACAAGTATTAAATTAAAAGAGGGAGAATGAATGACTTACGTAGTGCAATTCTTAGAAGAAAAGTTATCTGAAATAGAAGGAGGCATAAGAGTGAGCTCCAAATTACAATTTCTTCTCATTTTCTTCAATTAATTGAGAGAAAAGACTAATCAACAAATTAAACAAAGTTCTTTTTTTTTTCTTTAGTGATAGTAGAAAATTTTTATTTAGAAGTTGAGATAAGAGAGAAATTAATGAAAGAAGAAAGGGAAACTAGAATGAATATATACAAGATGATATTTTTGGTAGTGGGGACAGCTGGGTGGGTGTATTTAAAAAAATATATAAATCCACGTTTTAAATCAGTTGAGCTTTGAACACGAAATGCACACTTCAAAAAGGAGGTGTAAAATGACCATGTACAAAATGTGGCGTCCCCACAAGCCACAAACAAGCATACAACCAAACAAACAAGTAGTCATTTATCCGTTTTGATTACTTTTCTAAAATTATTGTTTTATATTTTAATTATTTATCTTATTAGATGAAAAAAGTATTATTTTAAAAAAATTATATTATTTTTGCAATTTAATAAAATAATCAAATTTATTGTAAGATGATATTCTAAAAGTTTTTTTAAGCTAGTGAATTAATAAACAATTTTCTTATTTATAATTTTCTAATATGCCTAAAAGGGAAAATAATGAACTATTAGGGGATAGAGAAAGCATGTTCTAACTAAACCACGTGATAAATGAGACTAATTAGACTTAAAAGAAAAATAATGGATGTGATTAAGAATGCTCACGCTGGATCCTATTACTGATTATTAAAATTTAGAATTAGATATAACATTTATTTATTGGTTTGTTTATATCAATTTTGTTTTGATTTGATTTGATTCTGCTAACTTTTTTAATAATTTTAAAAAAAGAATTGACTATTTGTTAATTAATTATATATAAAAAATAAAAAAAATAAGATTTTATAATTTTTATAATAAAATATCAATTATGTTTAACTTTCTGTTATATTGTTAGCTAATATAATGTATAAGACTTCATAATCTTTCTGAATAATGCATAAGATATTTATATTGCTACACAAATAAAAGATGCATCATACCTAACTCTCTTTAATGAGTGTGTGGCTTATTTTGCTTACTTTTTTCATAAATAAAAATACTCCATAATATATTATGTATCTAATTATTAAAAAAATATATATGTCCATAATTTGTTGATTTAGTTATTTTTGTCAATTTTTTTTAATTAAATTAAAATTAAATCAAATATTATCAATTTCTTAAAAAATAAAATCAAACCAAATAAAAATAGATTTATTAAGAGTTTGGTATGAAGAAAAATATTTTCTGAAAAATATTTTTCAATTTTTTCATGTTTGGTTGGACAAAATTTTTGAAAAATAATGTTTTCTACATCAACTCATTTTCTTCAAAATTAAGAAAAATAACTTCCCTTCAAAAATTAAGGAAAATATTTTCTAAAACTTTTCTCCAATTTCAAATTACATTTTTTTGAGGGAAAAACAACAATTTAAAAAAAAATTATTTTTTAAAAATTATTTTTTTTACCCGATCCGTGACCCCCCACTCACCCACCACCTCCAGCCCTCCCCAACCCTACCCCCTCCCCAAAAAAATAATTCTGCTTCTTAAAAATATTTTTCAACTACAAATTTTTATTTTTAAACTCCTACTCCCTCCCCCTCCGCCCCCCCCCCCCCCCGGCAGCCCCCACCCACCCCCAACCCCCAAAAAAATTAATTTTGTTTTTTAAAATACTGTAAAGTTTAAATTTTTGTTTTTCACTCCTACCCCCTCCCCGACCCCGACCCCACCCCCACCCCACCCAAATAAAAAAAATTAAAAATATTTTCAATTTCATAAATTATTTTTTACTCTAGTAAAAATAAAATATGTCTCTCAAAAACATTTTTCTTTCATAAATCAAAAACTAAAAATCATTTCCGAAAAATATTTTCGATTCACTAACTAAACATGAGAAAATAAGTCTAAAAATCTATTTATTTTCCAAAAAAACATTTTCTAAGAAATTTTTTTTCATGAAAAACATTTTCCTTCGTATCAAACACACCCTAAATCGATTTGGATCGACTACTACCCAAAATGTGAACTCCTCTGCCGATCACTAACACTCATGTGTACACTTAAATTTTTAAAAGTTTTGTAAAATACAATTATTCATATTAGTATTATTATCAAAGTGCGTGGGGGAGGGGGTAAGGAGGTGGATGGCAGTTACGTAGCTACATAGTTGTTACGGTGGTCAATTGAACATTTTTATTATAATATATAAAATAATTAAATAACATATTTTACACACTATTAATATAATAAATTATTTTTAGTTCAATTAAAAATGAATCTATAAAGGATCGTGAATATTAAAAGGTGACATCACTTAAAAATTATATATATGCACTGAATTCAATAATATGAGATGCTTGGAATAAGATAATATTCACGTATTTGATGTTTTTGTAAAATTTCTAACTCACAGAGAGGCGCTGAGTGCATCCACCAATTTTCTTCAGCGATTTCGGCTATTTTTCGTCAATTAATATATATATTTTTCAATATCATGTGTAGGACCATACACGCAATACACGTGTATCAATCGGCTTACTATTTAGGAGTATTTGTTCTCACTATTTTTAGATTTATGTATATTTTGTAACAGTTGCTTTTAGCAAGAATCAAAAGGCTGGAACGTGACAAAATAAATATTAAAAACAATAAGTTAAGAGTTTTCTTGATTTGCAAAATTACTCTTTAATATTTTATATGTGAATTTTTGTCTTTTTGAATGAGTACATTCATCATTTGCTTCACGTTATTATATAAATATCTCTGTTTGCCGACACGTGTTTGCACGTTTTTTTTATAGTAATAGTTAGTATATTCACCTTAAAACGAAATTCATATAATTAGAATTTCTGGGATTTATTCTTTAACAAAGCTAAATTCTTTTCACTTTAAAATTAAAATTTTAACTAGCCTATCATGTACTTTCACTCAAAAAAAATAATACATATATATATATAAACCGTAGATTTCATTAAAAGGCTTTTCCCATGAAGTATGATAAGCATAAATCAATTATATGGTGAAAAAATTATTTTCAAACCCTATATCCACCACCCATCACACTATATGTGGTTACTATTTTAATAGGAAACTTTCACATATAGCCAGTTTAAAATAATTAATTATTCTTCGTAGATATACTTTGATAATTATAATTTGTAGCTACATGTTATATGGAGGAGAGAGGTGAGCGAGACTAGGAGAGAAAGTAATGAGGTGAGAGAGAGGGGGAAAAGAGTGGGAGAAAGGTAAATTGTATATCTATATTGGTTAGATAATTGTATATTATATATATGTATGGGTAAATCACATAAATATGTTATATTATAAAAATATTTACTATTTATGTCAACATAATTTTTCTAACTAAATATAACATTTTTTGGGATTAAGAAAATTGTACGGTCTTCGCCTCCTTCTCAACCCCTTTTCCTATTCTTCTGCTTCTTTGACTCTTTCTTTCTTTTTACTCTTCTACTTCTTCGCCTCTTTCTTCTTCTTTTTTTACTCTTTTAATTTTTTGTCTCTTTCACTGGTGTTATTTATCTTCCTCTGTAACGACCTGTTTAGTCGTTTTGAGCAACGG